GGGGGGGGGGGGGGGGGGGGGGGTTAACAGCTGGTGTGACCAGGCCTTCCTACAGAAACTCGTTAATAACAGCTATTTACTTGCAGTTAATTATTCCATGCAGGACGGTTAAGGAGGAGAAGCCACCAAAGGAATATTAGGATTAATGGTGAAAAGTAACGGCAACTGTTATTTACAGTACAGCTGGTGGGTACGGGGGAGCGATTAGCTGTATCCGTGCGCGGGACACATTTACAGGCCTAATTGCAGGGGCGATTTATGGGTTTTAGAAGGCATTATTATGGGATGTGGCCCACCCGTGTCAGAAGTCAAACGATAATTAGACAAAGCGGAGAGCTTCTCAGCATTAACTCCTACCAGCTGGGGCAATTTTGGCAATTTCCTATTCAGGGGAGGGTGCAAGAAGCATTTTAGTGGCATTTATATTTCAAAGGATGAGCCCACTGAAGGTTATGTGCAGAATGAGCCGCCAAAACCCAGGGCTGAAAATGATTCATCCATCAGCGCGGTCATGGGGTAAATATTATTCAGTGGTTCTCAGTGTTTGCATTCATTATAAATTGAATTAATTTGCACTTGTGTCCAAATGTAAGAGAACTTAAGAGTGCGTAACTAAGCCTTAGAGCTGTGCAATGCCAGAAAAAAGCCAAAACGGATTTTCCTGAAACAAAAAGGGACTAGAGCCACGGATGACTTTCCTGTTCTTCATGCTCCACGGCCCGTGTCCATAACAGACTCACGCTATCACCCCGGTGGCCATTAGCGCCCTCTGCTGGATGATGCAAACCTCCACTAACAGGGGTGGAACACAACATCTGCAGTAGTGTTTTTCAACCCCTTTGGTGAGCCCCCCCAAGACAGTCCACATTTTTCTCCCGGAACACCTGAACCAAACTATCAAGAACGGTGAATATCTGGTATTGGTGTGCTGGTAACTGGAAGGCAGTAATGTGGACTCTGGGGATCCCTGAAGACCAGCTTGAGAAACACTGATCTACTGGATGGAAGAAGGCAAAACACAGACAATGGGACCAGACCAAAGATGCAGGAGAGCTAACAAGCCGCAGTCTTACTGTATAACAAATGGAGAAAACATATTGAATGTGCTTAATTAATTATACATTAAGGAACAACCATAGAAATGAAGTGGTTGGAATCTTCCCGTGGGAAAGTGTTAATGAAGCCTGCTTACCTGCATGTGCACGACCGCGCGCTGAACGCGACACATAATCAATCGGCCAAATCCAAAGAAGTAAATGAAATGTAAATTCACAGCCCCTATGAGCAAACCGGAAAAATCCATCAGCTAATCGGTAAACGCGTATCTCATCATGACTGGCAGGGGAATTTGGTTTGGTTTTGCAGGATAAATTACTCAATGTGTAATGGTAACATGTTGGTTGTTTCTGAAAATTACAGATGCAAACCATTTCATTAAAAAATAATAGTCAAATAATTTCCCACTAATGTACAGCTCTGGAAAAAAATTGAGACAACAGCTAAATTTTCTGTTTCACTCATTTCTCAATTTATGGGCATGCGCCTGTGTAAAATATACGTTTTTGCAAACTCCAGCCTGGTTGTTCCCTGCTTCTATTTGATGAAGGGCTTCTTCCTTGCTTTATGGGTCTTCAGTTCTGCTTCATGGGTCTTCAGTCCTGCTTCTAGGAGCCTGATACAAACTGTTTTTGGTCGTTCCCAGTGTCTCCTGCTTCACGTGGTGTTCTGTTGTCTTGGTCGCCTGGAAGCAGCCTGCCGCTCAGTGTAGTCCTCTGCCAGCAGATCCAGCATTTTTTTATTTTTTTTTAAATATGGAGTGGTCTCTTAATTTTTCCAGAGCTGTATGTTTCTTACTATATTTTTTTGTTTCAGTCACATCACCATACAACTGATTTATTCAATAGGTTAAATATAAAAAATAAAAAAGACTTTAAAGAGGAGGTCAGTTTTAGTTTTGTTTTCGCTGTACAACGTTGTCCCCACAGAAGATAACAGGGATCATTTCCATTTATTTTACATATTTAGGTCCTCAAATGTTCTCTGCTTCACCCAGTCTGTCCTACAGCATTCAGCTATCAATTTAAACAAATAATAGTTAAAAAAATAAGCATTAACATGTTTGTAAATAAAAAAAAAAAAAACACTGAACCAAAAATGTTGCTACAGCAGTTTCCCAACCCAATCCGCAGGGACCCCTAGCCAGTCCACATTTTTTTTTGTCCCTCCCAGCTCCCAGCCAATGAAGAACACCAAATACCTGGTTCAGGTGTGTTAGTGTATTAGGACCTGGGAAAGAGTGAAAATGTGGGCTATCTGAGGGTCCCCGAGGACTGGGTTGAGAAACACTGGACATCAGGCATCTGACACAGACATCCATCGATCACACAGAGTGAAGGTGGCATCAGAGGAACTGGATCCCCGCATTGGTCATGCAAAACGAAGATCGCTTTGTGCTGTTCGTCCTGCCGCTGGAGGACACTGCAGTGAACACCTGCTTCCTGTCCTTTGTCATGTTCGCTTTCGAAAACAGCACCCTGTGCGTAACTATCCTCTGCCAGGGCCTGCACAGGTAGACCTTAGTGAAGTCGCTGGGGGCGACTGTGCGGCGTTTCCAGGAAGTCCCGCCGACCTCAGCCACCTCCTCTGCAGAGTTACTCCTCATGATGGCATGAGTGGTGGCAAACACTGCAATGTGGTGCTCCTTCACGATTTTCTCCAGGAGTTCGGCGATCCTCCGGAGATTGGCCTCCTGGCGGGCCATGCTGTCCCCCCCATTGTATTTATCCACCCAGTAGAAGGCGGAGATGCTATCGATGACCAGGAGGCTCAGGGAGGGCCGGCCGGGGAGTGTGCCCTCCACATGGTGCAGCGTGAGCAGTAGCTGGAGGCTGCTGGAGCAGTGGACTACCGATATGCGGCACAGGCATGCTCGCAGCATCTCCTCTGAGCCCTGGGGCAGCCGGTGCTCCAGGATGGACACCAGGCGCAGAATGTCAAAGTGGTAGTCAGTGTCCACGTACATCACTTCCACCTCCAGGCCACCAAACTCCCCTGGGAGGATGCAAGAGGTCACCAGGTGGTACAAGGTCTCTGTCTTGCCTGTTCCTTCCATACCGTGGAACTCGACCACATCTCCTGCGGATGGGAGGAAGCCAGAGTCAGGAACTACAGAAGCTCCAAGACTAATCCTACCATTAAAGGCACCTTGAGCATTATCAGGTAGATGTTCCTTAACCTCACCCTCCTTCCCATAATTCACCGCTGCCTAGGCTAAGGTCCATTACATAGTATCTAGAAAAGGTAAACGAAACCTCGATATGTTCGATGTAGCTACTGAGAATGAATTTCAAACTGATACATTTACTTACCAGACATTTTTATTCAGAACCAAATACACATGAGGCAAGCAGTGCATTATATACATAGATACAAGCTTCTGTTTGAGTCAACACTTACCCTGAGCTGGACTACAGTCATCAGGAAAAAGGTGAAAATCTAACCCCTTCAGGCGTCGTTTTCCTTCGAGTCTGGCAAGCAGCTGAGGAATAACGTCATGCATTTACCATCTAACCAATAAATACCTATAAGTTACTTTATACAAGTACTACTACATACAAAAGTACAGTGAAGAGTTTTCTGTAAAGTGTGAAATACGTGCAATGTGGAAATGACCAAAGTTAAAACAGATAAATCTTGCTCTTAATTGATCAAACGTATCAGAAAATATTTTTCTCCATCAGTCGTTCATCATGATAATTGTGTATTAAAACTGGATCAATCAGGAATGTAAACAAGATGTTCTTTAGAGCGCCTTCGTTTAACTTACTAATAAAAGCTTCTCAAACAAGACCGACGGAAAACAGCTCAGAACTTGGGAAACTTCAACCCCAGCCCTTCAATTAGCCTACATGTTTTGTTTTTTTTTATGTAGACAGCTAACGGCTTAGCTTTCCAGGTCAAATCCCATTACTAAATCGTTCCCTGTTTTCCCCAGATTTACCTGCGCCCCAGACTCAGAAGACCTTGATGGATGCGTCATGCCACGCTTTACTTGTGCCACTGCACACCTACAGCTTTCAGGGAGCTACTTCCGGCTAATTCTCGTTGTCCTGTCCTTACCGTACCACACAGCATATACGTGCACCTTAAGTTTTGTTTTAATACCTTCCTCTAGTCTAGATTTATTAGCTTTTCTGCAAATATACGGAACCCTAGAACATTAATTTCGGATTGTTTCATCGTTCTGCAAGTATTACAGAAGGTTTGTGTCCGAGTTAGTAAAAAATAGAGATATTTAAGTTGCAAAGCGTTTTACATTGCTAAAAATGCTGCTAAAATCAGAAAATATCCTTCGAATTTCACGTATACGTTTAGTTTTCGAAACTTTTCTAGTACGTATAGTAGAATAAAACGGTACAGATCATAAACACAAATTACAGGATAGTAAATGTAATCTTTTTTTTTTTTACTGGTGTCGTGAAAGCAATTTATTTTTAGAGGATGCAAAAACAGATGTAATGCTTCAACGATTTTCTTATAGAATCCATTTGAAAGGTTTCATGATTTGCCATAGTAAGTTCCACGCTAAAATCACCGGCAAGTGAACGGTATACATCTCTTATTACACGGCTCTCTGGAATGCTTGATTCTGATTGGTCAGTTGAGACATTTGCAGGTTCGTTCTTTTCAAATAATGACCGCTCCAAAGTAATAACGCATAGCCGGTACTACTTGTATGTTTAAAATAAGTCCGCTCCAACAAAGATTATCGTTTAAAAATGTTAATTTAAAACAAATATGTCAATAAAATGTTTCAAATTTATATTCATGTCCAGTTTTTTTCCTTATGTGGCAAGTAGCCGTGTAATAAGCTCCGCTTCGCGTCGGGTCCTGATCACACTGTCGGGGCTTATTTCTGCGATAACTACCGGCTGCCTTTACATTATCCCTTACTTAACTCGCACTAGTCAGTGCGTGTTAAAGACAGGTAGACATAGGTGTTGCTGTGCATTATCTGGAGTTTTGCAAGAGTCTGTGTTTCTATTTAAAAAAAAAAAAAAACTAAATCCACTTCAGAGTTACAAACCAGCCCCAGCGAATCCAGCGCCTGTCCCGCTACATCCGGGGATGGATCCAGTGTCTTTTTCGCCTTTGACTCGGGAAGTAATCCTGCTGTCAGATCGTTATTATAACGGTACGGGGGTGCACCCGGCACGGTAATGCAATAACCACGGAAGTCCTACTGTGGTAATAATAAATGCTTTATTATTATTCACACTATAGGTTACTGTAGCTTAATAGGTGTGGTAATTTATGATTTTCTAGGAGGGTCATTCATCACACCAAGCCGATCATGGCAGTTCATTTACCTCCTTGCGTCATTGACGGCGGAACGGGGTGAGTTTATTATTGCGTTTACTTAATAGTTGTTGCATGTATAATTTCTTGGTTAGATCACATATTTACATTTGAGTCTCGGGTTTAGCATTAACCGACCCGGTCATGACGCACGACTGGCGCAGTCGACCGGGACCTGCATCTGCCATGACAGCCGAGTTATTTTCTGTAACAGCAACATCCCGTAAATGTAATGCAATAATAATAATAATAATTTGCAAAGGATGCGCACCAACTAAGTTTGTCATTCATTTATTTAGCTACACTCAAACTCCAGTACTATATATGTAGTACCTACTAGCTCGTTATCTCACGAATTTAGTTGGGTTCGTGTATTATCAATAAGTAATTATTTAAATTTGTTCAAGTCTATTGGTTTTTGGCACTATTTATAATGTCACTCGTTACCTATTAACAGATTCCGTTTGTTTACAGCGTAAAAATTGGGTCAGGTTTATTCCCTTTGGGAAGACGCACCGTTGTGTGCTAGATATGCGATGGAAATCTGCTTTCTGCTCGTCCTTATATCTGTCAGAATTATGCGAATTGCAAGTAATTTATTTGGGTTTTTTATCAGCTTCGCCTACCGGAGATTAGTGAATAAATGTTGCGGTGCCCATAACACTCTGATACGTCTTTCCCTACATAATTTGAGGATTTTACTTACATATCGCACATGTACAAATAAAAAGATCTACAGATCATGTTTTTTTGATAAATGGTGGCACTGAAATAGTGTTTGGGGCCGGTGGGGAACAAAGTCAATTAATCTGTACATACAAATGCACCGGTACTGCGCAAAAATATGAGTAATTTGTACCTGTCATGTGTTTTCTACGTAGTGGAAATATGGTGCAGCGGAGCGTTTAATTATTTTCTGTGTTACTAATCTCTCCTGCGCGCTCAGATACACCAAGATCGGATATGCCGGAAATACCGAGCCCCAGTTTATCATTCCCTCCTGTAAGTATCAAGATGAATTAAGTAAGCTCACAAATATTGGACTTAGAATATTCATTATAGGCTTACTTCCACTGTCTTTGTACCTTTATAAATATCTGCCCCGGACTCCGCAGCTTAATTAACTGTTGTTGTCTGGAGGTAGCAAACTGATAATGTAGCGGTGGAAACTGAGTATATAAAGGCTCAGATAGTCTGCCTGCCTAACCTTAATATGGAAAGTAACGAGATGTGCTTTGGAAAATAATTCATATGAAAATTGTTTAGTTGCAAGTTTTTTCGTGTTTTATTGATGCAAAAAAAAAGAAAGCATTTGAGATAGTGGCATTAATTAAATTTAGCTTGCAAAACGCTAATTAAAGCTTGCGTTATAAAAGCCCATGGCTGTATCTATATTTGTTCAGAATTAATTAGGGTAGTTTGGAATGCAGATTAAGCTCTCCAGTTAAGAAACGCTAATGAGCCAAGCAAGTAAACATTTTAACGGTAGTAAACAATGCAGGTTTGACCTTTTAGGTTAGACATGGATCTTCCTCAATCTATCTCTGTGATTAGATTGTGTTGAATATAAGTTTGAGTATGAGTATGAATGAACTCAGTAGAAAAGACCTATAGCACATACAGTAGGCAAGACTGTGCTGTTTGGAGAAGTGTTCAGTTTTATTATACCTATATAATTGGGGCACAATATTTTGTGGCACAGATAAATTTAGACTTGAGTTCTCAGAGCTTTTTGATGGCTAGGGTAGACATCTGCCTTTTCCACAAGTGGAAGACTCCTTAAATATTTCCAGGCATCGCCATCCGAGAAACTGCCGGCGTCGGAGACCAGGCGCAGAGACGACTCATGCGCGGGGTGGACGATCTGGATTTCTTCATTGGAGACGAAGCGATTGATAAGCCCAACTATGCAACCAAGGTCGCGTGTCTTCAGCAAAGAGTCCCATGTTGTTCTTGTTGTGACCGTAGGGGGCTCTGCGCTAAACTTTCGAAAGAGAAAAGCTAATTACTGAGTGCACGGTACAGTTGAAATCGAACGTGTAGGGAATCGAAATGGCATCGTGTTTTTTAAATACCTTTTCCAGTGAACCCAAATGGTGATTAATCAGAGGATATTACTAACATGGTAATAAGGTTTTCGTAACTAACTGATATTAGTCAACTGTAACTTCTTTATTTGTGTACTAAAAACAGGGAATTGAACGAGCATACAATCTTGAATTTAGAGTATGTATAGTTTTATGCCATCATGAATAACGAGAGTGCTGTGTGTTTTTAGTGAGGTTTTTTGTTGAAATTTAGAATCCATCCTCCACTCTTTGCTACCAGTAATTTGCAGTAGGTGGTGCTGTAGTTACCCCAAATGTTGGTGGTTTGAGTCCAAAGGGCGCCTTGCTCTAGTAAAAAGCTCAGCTTTATAATAGTTTATTTGTAAGTGAGTTAAGGAGTCAGTAAAGCATTTAAATGTCCTGTAAACCTAAATTTCAGCGGCGCACTGAAACGTTGTCCCTGCTCCACAGTGGCCGATTCGGCATGGCATCATCGAGGACTGGGATCTCATGGAGAAGTTCATGGAACAAGTGATATTTAAGTATCTGCGAGCAGAGCCAGAAGACCACTACTTCCTGATGGTAGGACCAGCCACCTCTGTCCCCATCCCCGTCCCTTTCCCTGTCACGAGAGGCTTTTCATGGGAAATATATCCCATTCATTTTGGCACGTTCTTAAAGTTTATTCACTTGGCATCTAGGTAATTCAGTCTAATCCTCTCTGTCTATTAGTCTTAGAGTTGTTGTTGTTTAAAAATGTTCATTCATTAATAACTACTTCTGAATAAAAGGCTTTTTTTTTATCTGGGAGATGGCTTGAACCTGAGTTCAGACCCAATCTAAATAACTCACATCTCCAGACAGAACCTCCACTGAACACGCCAGAGAACAGGGAGTACCTGGCCGAGATCATGTTTGAGACCTTCAACGTTCCGGGGCTCTACGTCGCTGTGCAGGTATGGCACCTGACCGGAGATTAGCGTGGTACATTCTGGAATAGCATGAACGTAGTTTCTGACGTTTTTTTTCCCCCTCCTCAGGCAGTGCTGGCCTTGGCTGCCTCCTGGACCTCCAGAGCCGTCGGCGAGCGTACCCTGACGGGTATCGTGATCGACAGTGGCGACGGGGTGACCCACGCCATTCCTGTGGTGAGAATCATCACACCTCTCCCGACTACATGTGCTTTTTTGTCAACTTGCACCCTGATGTCCGTGGCAAACGCCAGAACCTGATATGAAAGCTTCATCACGCGCATTTGTGATCCAATGGAGGCTGATTATATCAACTTTTCTATTTATTTCAAAAACAGACATATACACAATACTACTATTACGTACCATTACTACTGAGACCAAGGCGCATAGAAGAAACTTGTCCACTTATGATTCTTCCTCATGACTTTGCTTGAGCCCTTCTTGAATTTTTTTTGTGGAAACAGACACATCTGCCCTTTTTCCTGTATGGAACAGGATGCCTTTATTGTCATTGTACACAAAGCAAGTACAACTTGGTGTTAGGCACACATGCAGTAGGCAAGAGCAAAGCATGGGTTCAGATCGCAGGGTTGGCTATGTTTGCTGCACTCTTGGAGCAGGTTTTGGTTTAAGGGCCCTGCGCATGGACCTAGAACTGGTATTATTACTCTGCCATCCGTAGGTTGCAAGCCAACAACCTTCCAGACACAGATTCCTAACCCACAGATTTACTGCCCCATAAAAAATACTGCCGGCTGTAGCAGTGTGTGAGTCGCTATGTAAGTCAAGCCACAAAGCCTGCAGTGTTAAAACCATTTCATAAATTCAGTGGCACCACGTTTAAAAAAATAAAAATAAAAATAGCAAAGCGCAGTCATGCTGGAATTAGAAGCCCAGTAGGAGCTGTTGTCTTCCCTCTCAGAAATGTCACCTGAAGGGCAACACACGAGTTGGTAGGACGTTTAGCATCTGTCGCCTCTGTTTGTGTGGCAGCAGGCTGCTGTCGGCGTGACAACCTGTCACATCTAATCCGCTCCGTCTCATTGGCTGCCCAGCAGAGCATTTCCGGTGTTTTTGATTAATGGCTGCCTGAAAACCGGATTAACAACAGCACAGCGGCCCACCACCAAGAGCTGGGGACCGAAATGCGATTTATAGGCTCGTGTGGGATTACTTCTGAGGTGACTGTCAGTGGAGCATAATTGCTAAGGGGTCGTCTGTGATGTTTCGACAGCTGGGGAGAGGTGAAGAATCCATAACTGAGGGG